ATATGCATATAAACTGAAAGTGGGAAACAAGTGTCTGTGAGGTAATTATTTTCAGTAAAAGGATTATTTTATATTTGCCTAAGTATACTGACAGAAAAAAATTGTTTAATTGGCTTATTTAATCGTTGAAGGAGACTTACAAATATGTGTGTAGATGAGTTTAATCACTTATTAGTTCTAAAACCTTAGGCAATTAAAGTTTTACTGATTTTGGCACTGGTGATAGCCTACTAGTCTTAAAGCATCAATACAGTGATGGAAGATAGGTGAAATACTAATGATATGAGGGTTTAGACAATTTGTTTTGAAAGATTATTCACTGACGTTTTCGTAGTCTGACTAAATGACTTCCAAATGAAACCTTTCCAATTCAGCCTAAATAGAGGTGAAAAAAAACACAAAAGATGAAGGAACGCTTTGTAACTACAGTGAATATCGGTCCCACTTCCAGTGATAAGTGCTCATTGTATATCTTCTTGATCTTGGGTGGTTTGCGTTAATCCCGTAGCTTTTCTGTTTTATGTTTCTATATTTACTTTATTTTAATTTATGACTATACCCAACAGACTTTTAAGCAGGCAAATTGATCTCTATCGACGGGAAGCTTTCGGATTCTAATTTTTATTATCTAGTAAATATTAACCATTGGGGAAGAGATTTAAATTTCTAAGCTGTAATACATAGTCACGAACAGAGTTTCTTGTAATCAAATGGTCACGAAATTTTATCATTGCAAGTTTTTAGTAAAATGAAGTTGTTTATTAGTCAGTCCCTTGAAAACTTGCCAGTTTGTGTTATTATCAGGCATATAAAGAGAAGTAAATTTACTGAAGAAAATCATACTCTTAGTTTGATATAAACGTTTTTTGAACTTTCATACCTCTGCGTTCCGAGTGAAATATAGGGCTCCAAGCTTTAAGCTACAAATTTTCAGCAGCGCTAGTTTGTTTATGTGGTGAAGTTTCTAGTCTCACACTCAACCTTCCGGGCTTACTGCTGACTAGTAAGCTAGGCGATGTGGAGGAGTGCATCGGCTGGGAATCGAATATGGACTACTTCTATGGTTGGCTGGCATTTTACCCCTGAACCAGCAATGTACTTTCGATTGAAACGGTTACAGATATTTTTCCAAGTAGGTAACTAAAGGCTGATTCAGTGGGGAGTATATAATGACGCAGTCGTTTAAAGTGAGTCTATTAAACTTAAATATGTGATCAACTTGAGCATCTGGTTTATTCGGGAATATAAATATCAATTGTTCTCTAACTGATATCAATCCGTGATCAACTCGTAAAAATATAAATATCATTTCTTTTAATTTCGACTAGCCACTTTTCAGTTAATTTCTAGTAACTATTCCTAAGGCTCTTAATATTGTTGCACTGTTTTATTTTATCAAAGGGACCTGAGAAATTCAGGTACATCCAGATGACGAGTCACAAATAGGACGAAATGTGCATCCTGGATTCCACTGCTAGTCACCATCCACCAATTAAATATTTGTAGGTACTTCAAAGTTATCGTTAATACTAGAAGATAGTGAAATGCGTATAAAACTTCAAGTCACCTAATAAACTTCCTTTTACATAGAAGTATGATAAGTGATTGTTGTGTCATATATCAGAATAAGTGCAGGGGTTTCTTAATGTAAGAGCAGAATTTAGGCACCTCGGTAGAATATAATTCCATATTAGATAAGTTTATTTGATATAAAACACAATGATACAGTATTGATAACTGGATAACGTTTCGAACACGATTTATTACTTATAATCATATCAGGGTATTCACACGACTTCCTAACTTGCTTCATATTGTTCTACCCTCTGATGTTTTTTATTGCGATTTCTCACTTTATATTTCGACTGCACGTGTTTGTTATTGATTTGATGGGAAAAGATAAGATGATTTATCTGTCTCTCCACCTAAATATATTACTTTTTGGTACTTTTATCCTATCCAGCCATACTGCATGACTACATGCAAATGAATGCATAGCAATAAAAAAGCTCTATCCAGATTGCTTAATTTATCAAGGCAAATCATTCTAGTTCCATATAAATTCTTATGTTCCTATAATCTGATTGATCTTGATCTACAAATCTGACCTATGTAATCGACCTCATAGTCATTATATGGTAATGAATAAATTAAATTATTTTCCCTAACTATGTCTGTTGTGTCTTTAAATCGATAAAGTTTGTCTCTGAGTGAGTTGGTTTGTTCAAATGCCACCCGAATGCCAGCATTATTTAGAACCCTATTTGAGCTTCTGGTTTTTCTTCCTTATACGATAGTACTATTGAGGTTTTGAATCCTTTGTTATTTAAATTATTTTTACTGTTTATATTACCACTTCTGGTATTCTTATAAGTCCTAAAAAACTTTCGAATGAATTCAAGCGCAATGCCATTTAGCAGTAATGTTTTCCTCATTTCTTTGGTGAACTTTTCTAATTTACAGGTCATATTCTTGTCTCGATTGTATAAACACTTGGCTAAGCCCACTTTTACAGATTACAGGTTGGATGATTCAAGGTCCAAGTACCTACTAGAATGACATGTTTTCTCATATATGCTACTAGCTAAACTTCTATCTAGTTTTCACTTAATTATGTAAGCTATCATGGTTAATTCGGCTTGTTCATTGCATAACTCGAAGGGCCACTAGAACCTTTCAAACACTGAGTTTTTGCGTGTCTGTTTAGATATCAACATTGTGAATATGTTGGCCACATATTATCATCACCATACCTTAGTAGAAGGATTAAACGAATTTAAGGCCTTACGTTCACAACTATCCATAAATACATACATTACTACTGAGGATAGTGGTGGTCCTATTACTATCCGTTTGCTTGTTTATATGTTTTATGTTGAAATAACAGACTGCAGAAGTAAGGCATACTCAAATACCTGGCCTGATTTCATCAGACGATAATGTAGTACTGTGTATGAGTTCAGGGTCGATGCATAGCTCATTACCATCTGTTTCCACAGTTTTATTTATTGAAGTGCTATTACAAAAACTTTCCATACCAAAATTAAACATTTTTTTCATCCTTTTGAGTGTGAATATCCCCAAGTCCATGTTTCTTTTTCTAACAGCAGTTTGTGATTAGGCACAGTATGGATGCGTCGGTGGTATAGTGGTTAGGACGCTCGCCGACCATGCACATGGTCCGGGGTTCGATCCCCGGCCGACGCACACCTTTACCTCTCTAAGCCAGAAATAATTCTGGTAAAGAGAAAAGGTTGAGCATGAGGCTAGCAACCCCGTCCTGTAAAATAAACTCTGCTGCAGAAACTTCAAGCTACTAGCTTGAAGCCCTACGTTCCACTGGGGAACGTGAAGGAAAAATTATTATTATTATTATTACAGTATGGATGCTAAATATTTAGACAACTCATATGTTTGTATGCTTCTGAAGTCATCTCTCAGCCTAATGAAATATCCCGCCCAATAGACTTTGACATTGTCATGCCTTCTATTGGAAACATTAGTTTTGATGACTTTATTTGAGGTATTAGGTTGGTTGTAGATTTTTCATTTTATTCATAAACGTGTCAGTGGGTTTCTTGGTTTCTTCATACGGATCAGTTTGAATGTGTACACATTAATCATTCAGATATAAGCTGATTTTCCCATGACCACCGTTGAAGTTAATTATTATTCATTTGTCACTTTTTAAAACCTTTTCAGATCAAACATTTCTGGTCTTATTAAACTCTTTCTTTTCAATATTTTGATGTTTTAGTATTAATGCGTATTGTGTTCAAACCTGTTCGTCGGTTGCATAAAAGGATAATGAATTCTTCACAGTTAAATTACTAGTCTCAGAGGACATAAAAGCTTCAGGAATTTGTTTTATCTATAGCATTTAGTGATACTCTATACTAGGAATGATATCTTCAGGCTTTTATATGTCAGTGGCCATGGTAAAGTTTAGTTAGCTCTCGAGCACGTTTGTTTCCTCTGGACATAATGTTCTCTCATCCACTTATGCTGCACCAATGTGTCTTATATCGGATAAACTTATCTAATATCATTGAATTTCTCTAAATTATCACCAGTGATTGTACAGCTAAAAAGTATATATCGAAAAAGGCTTTTTAGGGTGATAACCATACTTCATATATGATTAGTAGATGTGGACAAACATTTTGTACTAAATACCATGTAAATGATCACACCTTATTATCTTGAATTTCTTAGTTGGTTCGTTGACAGGCTTCCTTGCTACTGATCATATAAGAAAACTTAGATTATTCAAAATGTGCCACCTGAAGTTCATTTCTTAATTCTAATACTACTGTCTATCTGTCAAAGGTTCACACGTCTGGGAATGTTGCAAACTAATGATCATTATTCAAGTTGAGAAGTTGCTAGCTAATTCTCTTTAACATGAGTTGAATTGAAATATTTTAAGTGCATGTAAAACACGTTTACTCCTTGCCATGAAAGCTTTTGGCAGTGAATTTCTCCACTTTCTGCCAAACTGGTTGATACAAGCGGACTTATCAAATAGAATTCGGACATGATAAGAAGCGAAAGCTACTGGCCAAAAGTCTCCCCAATGGCTACGGATGCGAAAGAAATGGAAAGATATCAATAATAAGTAATATCTGTCAACTGTTTAAGTTTACCAGGGAAGTGGATTCTACGTAAGCTGAGCAAAGTGAAATTATATTCAAGAGGGATAAGAGTGTTATGATTAGTGTGTGGAATTTCTGCTTGAATCTGAATTGTGTCACTGCTCTGTGTGTGATATTGAGTCGATTAAAATAGATACAACTGCGGAATATAAGCCGTTCTTTAATTATGAAAAATTATACTGTTCACTTAATCCACGAAATCAAGTATTGATAATCAGAATGCTCAAGTGAGTATCAAAGGGTTTCTAAATATAATTCAAGTGATATTTTTCGGAACACAGAACTTAAATTTTACCATTGGGTTATTTTGTGTAGATGAAAAGATTTTTTATTTTTTTATTTTAGTTAAAATGTTGTGCTGTCGAAGATAATCAAGCAGATTTATATCTACGATCTGTTTGGTATTCACGTCAGATACACCAGTCTTCAGTATTTGGTTCTAATTCAGTACCATTGTTATCTGAAGAGCACAACAATGGTTCTATACTACCCCTTATAGTAAATGTTCCTGCATCTTGTTGTCTATATTCACCTGAAACAATGGAGTTTATAAATCTGACTGCATGTCAAACAGGTTCTTTAAAGTCGAATCTAAATTCATACCTTAATCCTCACGTAAGTTAACTTTATGACCCCTATTGTTTAATTCTTATTATGAAACAGAAGAAGGCAATGGAAACTCAATTTGTTTTTTTATTAGCTTCGAATTGAATTAGTTGTTTATTCAAACAACTTATGACTTATTGATATTGTCAGCTATTTTTCAACTCAGAAATAGGGGGATGGAAACTAGAAGTTTTAGGATGCAAAGTGAGCACTTAAACATTCAACCATTGGGACGAAATCCAATGTCTCATGAATTCGAATATCTTTCAGTTCATGATATGTATGAAATTTTCATTTTAATTATGGAGAAACTAAATTTCACATCCATTCATGCACCTGTTTAATTCATTTTTTATATATTTGGGGAGAGATAAAGTCAGAATCGATACAGTCAACGAAGAAAATACCAACAATACTAAGAGTAGCTCAATGGACTGAAGAAGCCTCAGATTGACCTTACGCGGGAACAAGCACTTACAATAGCTAAAAATGTATTTAAATGCCATACACTTAAAATATAAATATCTGATGATTTTTCTGATGCTATAGCATAATCTGAACAAGGTGGTTTGACTGCGAAGCTTTCATTATCTTCAAGACTCACCTCATTTTGAAGTACAGGTCTTTCTTCTCCATGTTTGTATCTGACTTTCTTTTAAAGTTTACGGTTAACCATTGTGAATCGTTAGAGCTGAATTAGTTCGAATGCTTCTCTCAGAAGTATGGAAATTAAAGACGGCAAGCAACAAGAAACTTTGATTTTAATTAGTCGTTATATTGTGGTTGATATTAGTAGAAGGTGGAGGGTATTCATTTACATATCAGATAGTCAAATCAGAATCTCCATGAGGATATCCCGCATCAGTATTTCACCATTAGGTTTTAGAATTCATTTTTATGAGAATTCAAAAAGTTATCTATGTCGTAATAACTTAAGAAGATGAAAGATAAATTCTTAAGTGTGTAAGAATTATGAATTAATTTTTTAAAATATTAGATACATTATAAGTTTACAGAGTAATTTTGGGAAAAAGAGAAACAGATGACACACACACACCAAGTCACTTTTCTCAAACACGTTCTTCTATGGAAGTCTAAATTAAAATAATAGTCATTTCTTCTTTGAAATGCAGACAATGAAAATATGCTTGACTGGATTTCATGCACTGAAATAATAATATTACGCCTGCTTTTCGTTACTAATTTCAATCCTTTTCAGAGGAAGAAAGCAAATTAATAATATGGATGTAAATTTTGTTACAAACAGATGTCGTATAGAGGATCACTGAAAACCAGGGAACAATGGACAGTCGCTTTATTCTAGTATAAAACTCTTCATCAGTGCACACCCACGAACCCACCAGGAATCGAACCTGGTGCCTTCAGGAGATTCGAACCCCTAAAATCTAAAATGAATAGTAGTTTGTATACATGTATTTTAGGCGGAGATAAGAGTCTGTTTTTACTAAAAACAAGTATACATGAGCCGATTCTTCCCTTAAATTTAAATCTCTTATTTAATAAGTTATTCAAATATGAAGCCATCACTCATCGTATTCTGACAATATGATAGGTATGGAAGCGAGGTTTAACAGAGATTAACACAAATATAATTTTCAATCAGCGCCTATTGTTTATGGAACTGTTCAGTCAAATCTTGATCAGAGTCCATATAAATTAACTGTATACCGCTTTTGTTGAGCTATCATGGAACTAAAAGTAAAGTGAATTAAAGGTTTCATCACAGTGACAAATACCCTGATAAACTTGATATTTAGTGTTTTCAGTGGCTTATTTAACCATTTATTACATATTTACTCGAACTCACATATTCGGTCAAATTTGTAGTGAGTTAATTTAATCCTGCAGAACTGTGGTAAATGGTGCCAGCAGTAATAAGATACATGGCATGCTTGAATTTATGGTATAAAGTAAACTGGAAGAAAGTTTTCTTGTTTTTCATGAAGTTTATTTAATTTATTATCATCAGGAATTTAATGCTGTCTATTGATTTCTTCTTTCAGGGTTGTGCGAATGTGATTATCGCCCTTCTATACCAATATTTCATCCCATTGATAATAATGATTGTTATATTGGCTATACTGATGGTAAGTTTTTGCTCTAACAAGTTAAATACTGTGATTTTACAATCTGCGTCTGAGATGTCTTTAGTTCTACGTTTATTTATTATGAAAACTCAATGGTGAAAAACATCAGTGAAATTCAATTTGAAAAACACTATCGAATTTTTGCTTCGCTTCTTTGTAACTTTTCAAGCAAATAATGTAAACATTAATAGCTTTTCAGGGTGTATCTCATTTTGCTTTCACTTTCTCAAATTCTGGATGGCATTCTTTTATCAAGTTCTAACTGTAGACCAGTAGTACAGCAGAATTTGAGGCAGAATGCTGAAGTGATCAAACACATCAAAAGTTTGGGTAGCCGGTTGTATTTTAATTAAGATTTTATCAGGAAACAGTCGAAAAGAAGGCTTAAACGACTGGATTTGTGTTCGATGGCACTCACCGACTTTGAAGAACTGTTTCTGACCGTTATTTGCCGTAACCTGATCTCAAAAGTTGACGATAGTTAATCAGTACAAACCTTTAGACTGAAGCTTTGTGTCTGTTGACATTGTTCACAAATGTTTAACCACAACTTTTAGGATGAAACGTGTCAGTCATAATCTGAGAAGAAGAATAGAATTCGGGCACTGTGGTGGGATATAATAATATATATAATATAACTTTACAATTGTAATTATTAACAAGTTTGAATGGTAATGTGCTAACCGTAAGATGTAACGCTTTCTAGCTGAATACACCACGAGTTCTGATGTCTGCAATATTTTGGAAGCTTTAAGCTACAGCAAACCATATTGTAATGATATTCATATTCATTTTGATACTCTGGAAGTTGGTGAGAAGCTGTGGAATAAAGTTAACCCACTTTTTCATGTCAGACATTTTCACTTTTAAGTGTTGGTTTGTAGGGATTTGATTGGTTTCAGGATTTCATCATGAGCTGACATTAGTTAGAGAACCATTGGTACGCCCAGGTTTTCCAATGGTTCCCTAACTAATGTCAGCTCATGATGAAATCCTGAAATTTTCACTTTTATTGTTCAAAGTTACCAGACACATTCAATACTTATACTTTCAAGAATGGTCATAAAATGGCTTCAGCTCGAGAACCATTGAAAACTAGGGAGCACTAGATAACTGTTTCGTCACTGTTTGGGACTGTTTAATGACACGCGCCCGTGATCCAACCAGGGATTGGACCCAGGACATACAGATTACAGGGTAAACTTGTAATTATCGGGTATTGATTTCCCCTTTTTTCGCAAAATACCCACGAAATTACTCAACTTCACACTGAATCTCATGTCTAGCCTCTTGTTTGATAAGTCTTCAAATTATTCTAATATCTCTAACCGTAGACCTGATCACGCAGCTAGTTGTTAAACACAATATTACTTACTGGTACTATAATGTCACAGAATAACTCCACTTTTTGTTACCCATGTTATTTTTCTCTTCCTGTCTGTAAATGCTGTTAGTTAAGCGTATGGCTATTAGTTTTGCACGGTTATGTTTTGATTAAGCAATCAGTCGTCGGATATGTATAATATGATTACTAAAAATTCTGCCAGTTAATTACAATCAGATGTTTAACAAATGTTCAGGGAAAAAAATTTCAATAATTCCTATCGAAAGGAGATGGAATAGTCTGGTTACATCAAAAGTTGAAAAGTTACCTATTAGTATATGTTATATTTATGTAAATAAACTGCAGCAAACTCTACTAGATATTATGATGTAGTTTAAGAGCAAATCCAATTAAAAAATACATCTAAGTAACAATTAATAAATTTAAACAATAATACAGAATTTAAGGGGGCTTTGGCTTTTTCTACCTAGAATGTACACGTCCATGTTTTAGAAATTAATTAACTTAATTAATGACACAATATATACAAATCTCTTTCGAGTTATAACTTTTATTCGAATTAACTTTCTCTTAACATAGAGTAACCTAGATAAACTGTGTCTTCGAATTATCCGAAGGAGAAAGAAGAAACAAGTAAAATTCCCCAAGGTTATTGATTTTTGTTTACAGATTTTTGTTACTATTGTTATTCCCTTGGGTTCCGAGTGGAATATAGGGCTTCAACAACACATCTCCACTTTGCCGTCCTCTTCAGCTGGGTTTACGATTGACCATAATCTCTAATCTCCTCCTCGCCACACAGTCTCCTCCATTTCACCCTCGTACTGACAACTTACTCGTAGCTTCCCATTAGAATTCAGCTTGAGGCATTGCCTGGTTCACAATGTCATTCAACGGTCTCTTCAATGCATGCTCGATCCACCTCCATTTTCTCCTACATATTTATTGGGCAATCGGCTCTTCATTGGTTAGTCGCCAGAGTTTCTTGTTGCTAATTCTTTCTGGCCAACCGGGAATTTGTCCTTCAGTACTGAGCCAGTGAAGGCAGTTGTTGATAAAAGTTTGTAACTTGTTGCAAATCCTTTTAGTTACACACCAAGTTTCTGACCCGTATAGAAGAACTGAATGACTTCACATTTGTGTTGAAAACCCTAATTCTGTTCCTTATGCTGAGCGACAACAGAAGATTCCCAAATCGGTTTCAGGTTGATGAAGGCTTATTTTGTCTATCCGATTCTCTCTGGCTGGCTTTGAAATCTTTATCTGTTCTGACTGCCTGTAGTCGAGAGGATTCCTCCTAGATAAGTGAAGGAAGTAACCTCTCTCAAGCTACTCCTGTTGATAGTGACTGGTACTGGTTGTTGTTGTTGTTGGTTGGTTATTTTCATCACCTCCGTCTTCTCTATGTTTACCTGAATTCTTATCTTCGCTTCATGCAGCTTCAGCCAGTTTGTTGGTTTTCGCTTTCGAATCTTCGAGTCTTGTGACATTATACATAAATCACCCACACGCGATATCCAGATCTTCTGGAGTCTTGTTATCCGTGGTCCAGCGTATTCCTGTCTCTTCGCTCCCAACAAACAGTCTTCCTCATAATCTAGTCCACCACAATTAAGAATATCATCGGTGATAATAGGTATCTGGCCCTGTCTTACTACTGCACTCACTTCAAACGCCTCACTGAGTTTTCTGTTTTGGATCAACTGACACGTGATATTGTCATATAACTGTTGGGTAAGGCTGATAAAGAAGCAGTTTACAGCTTTATCACGGATTAATTTAACACAGTGATTTTGAACTTTCAATATTATATATACTAAATGCAAACGCTGCCATGATAAATATATACAGAAAGTGGACACATAATGATTATTATGCTTCAGAGTTCTCCTAAACACATGTTCTAATCAACAATTAGTAAAGACCTTAAATATACCTTGTAGATTTGAGCCTCATCAGTCGATTTTCATCGGATGAGTCCAGGGTTTGAACCCCGCCCCACCTACTTCAGCCTGGCCGACTAGGTAGTATCATCATCATCCTCACACAACAATTTTACAGCTCATAGCCTGTCACATGAAAAATCTGTTCCCGGTAACTGAGATAGTCAATCATTCAATGAATCAATCACTTAGGTATACTTGATAGCACGCAAAATTCCCTGTCTGTAAGCTAAGCTCACTCAGTAGGTGTTTATTTGAGTTTTTATTCGTCTCAAAAATGGATTCGATTTTCACTAGAATCGATTTAAATCACATGCTTCTTTTTCTGCCTTTAAATATCTATGATCGTTTATTCTATTTTGTCTGACATTTTTTAAAAATATATGTTTCATCTTTAATATAAATTTGCATACTGCAATTCATTGTAATATCCGGTTTGCAGATAATTATGTGATTTTCAAAACAATATTAAACGATATGGTTAAAACAAGTTAAGTGAAAATCATATATGGTTATGAGGAAGTGAGATGAATATATTTCACCCATCTGAATATATGTGGATTGCATTATTACACTAGTACTAGGTGGGAAATTTCGTTTGCATGGATCGCTTTGTTTATAATGGTGATACAGACAACTTTGGCTGATTAGAAATGTTAGGGCTAGGATAGTGTGATAAATGCTGTCATCTCTCTACATTGATATAACAGTGGCATTAATCTGCCACCTTTTGGGAGACCTAATATTTCCCTTAATTATCCTTTGGATTCGAACACATTTATTGAGAACACTGTGGATGCTTCTGTTGAACGCACTGACCACTCCTGCGAAACATCTGAGATTGACTGGAAAATAGAAATCTTTCTAAATCGTTCCAAGGATTTTCCCAGTGATGCACAAAACTGAAAAAGACGTGTAGTTTATTTTTCTTACTAAAACCTTTCTGATTCCTACCTAGGGGAATATATTTTCCATGAGGTAACCTCTGGTGAATCGGAAAGCTGTTGTGATCCGTCATATAATGATTATAACTATGCGTCTTGTGAACTACGATCTAAAACCATTAGCTGCAATAGTCTGGGGGCAAATATTATCAATATTCTTCACGAAGATTCATAGACAAGCTGGGTTGGTGACTCTACCAGTTAGTAAATCTATGAGTTTGATTTTTATTGCCTATCAACCCCTTTTACGAATCCATTGAGTTACCTCTTTTCCTAACCTAAATGTCGTATTTTGCGCAGGTACACCTGCATTTCAGTTTACTTCAACTCTTCCACTTCGTCAGCCTATTGACGATACTGTTATTTATTACTGTTCTGTTCGGTTAGGTTATGGATGAACTTTTAACTAGATTTGGTGCATTTGAATTCTTGAAGTAATGACGTTTTTTATTTCAAACTCTGGGAGTCCATTCAGATGACTATACTTACATAAATACAAGTATTCATAGCAGTCGGTGGCTTGTCCTGATAGGGAATAAGCAGACAGTTAACTAACTTACAGCATATGTCAGTAACTATGGTAAGCTGTGAAAGTTAAGTATGACTGATTACAAACTCATTATTGTTATTTGACTGAGGTGCTTTATGGTGATATGAAAATGAGTTTAATTCATTACTTTCCTTCTAAATCAAAGTAAACTTAAGTACAAAGAAATGCAGATACTTAATGAATAGCATTAAAATAAAATTCACTGATTCCAAATGTGA